CAATATAATCTAGGTCTAATATATAATTTCTGAAAAATTCTAGATATATTTGATAGCTAAAATAATTTCCACGGAGAAACTTTATCTTTGTATTCTCTGATTCATGTTTTATTTTTTATAAAGAATTTTGCTTCTTTTTACTTATTTATTTACTGAACTAGGTGTATTAAGATACATTTTATGCATAGGGTTATAGTACATAAAATCTGCTAAAGATTTTCCAAAAACCTGTGTGCACACCTAGTTAATCCTAAGAACTGAAATATAATAGGCTTATATGCCAATAGCAAAAAGTTCAAAAACTAAGAATAAAAAAAGCTTAGAACTAAGAATGAAAAACTTATATCTACATATGCTTAACTAAAAAACAAAGGTATAACAACTCTCGTCTAGAATAGTCATGATGAATATGCTATGATTGATGTTAATGTTCTTCTTTGATGTTATTAATGTTATTATTTACGTATGTCAGAGTACAATTGTATTTTATTGAAAAATATATCGCTCAAATAATGGAAAAGTAGACCATGTATTATAAGCAAATAGGTTTCACTCCTCCGCAGTTTTCTTCGGAATCACAAAAAAATATAAATTTTCATCATAAGTAAAAATGATAAAAAAACTAAATACAGCTACGAAAATAATTTAATTTTTTATATATTTAAATGAAGACTAATTAGACCTCATCTGTAAATTCATGACAATTTTAAATTGATGTTAAAAAGCTGACTTTAGTCACTGATCAATGTAAACAAATGCTTACAACAGTACAATATTGCTAATAGAAGGCGTAAGTAACTGTTTGTACCTAATTCGGATTTACTGTAGGTACTGAATAATTCATGAATGAACGTGTAACATCCGTAATCTCCCTATTCTCTCCAATGAGCGATACTTCTCTCTTTATAATTGCGAATAATAAGGAACTTAAATGTTTTTTTATGTAACATCCTAAAAAATTATGCGTTCTAGCTGTCAACTCGAGAAATCAGTAAGTAAATAAAAATTAACACTTAGCATTAAGTGATTGGGCAAGTGGTCGCAACTCATTTGAAAAAAAGCGCTCATGCGGTAACAGATACGTTTTGTTTGTATATTTTATTAAGTTCAGCTTGAAAGGAAATTGAAAAAGAAAATTTTTTCTAATAACTCCAATTAGTTATACGTTGAATATATTATGTATGGGTAACAAACACAAAACAGCCACAAATTGTGTTTATCATAATTATTAGATACATAGGCATACGTATTGCCCCATATGGATTTCACTTAGACTTTACAAGTTTTGATGTTTTGCTTAACAAACAACAAAATTAAATTAAGTTGAAGCATGTTCAAAATCGATTAAGTTTTCTTTTTATAAAATAAGTTCATATGCCAGCAATATTTAAGTTCACCGTCATTAATTTACATATCCTATTGTTATTATGGGTACTTATATTTCAAGTTCAGTTTTTTTTTTATTTAAAACAAATCGTATAAATTAATATTAAAATTTCAATCTTCCTCATAATTAATTTAAAAAAGCGTGAATAAAATCAAATGAGAACGCAGAATGGATCAAAAATCAATGAAAATATTGTGTGTTGCGTACAACGCAATGTTGCTGACCAAAAATGAGGATGACCCGAGTAAAAATGAAAAAGACTAAAAGACCGCCGAATTATCTCCAAATGTCTAAAAACTACTATTTTACCACCGAAATAGCGCCGGTGAATACGACAAAAATTAAAAACTCTAAAATACGACCAAAATACCTCTATTAAAACGACCGAAAAAGCGCCGAAATAGCACCGAAAACGGCTGCCTACAAAAACGACCGAAAAACCACCGAAATAGCACCGAAAACGGCTGTCTACAAGAACGACCGAAAAACCGCCAAAATAGCACCGAAAACGGCTTCCTACACAGCACAAGATACAAAAATAATGATTATGGATTATTAATTTATTCATAAAGTATTTAATAACTTTTATCAATTAAAATTGATATAAGGATATAGTTAGTGATGGTTTTTGTCGTAAAAAAAATTTTATATTAATGTTTATGAATATACATATATTTATATTCTCTTTTAAATGTACAATACTTCTCAGACTTTTGAAAATTTAAATATTACATTTCCGAAAGAAGGTCATAATTTAGAGGGCATTATTACGTATACTAACTTTAATGTCAGTAGGATAACTTTTGAATAATAACATTTTTTCTGCCTATTTGCTGTGGGTGCGACAGGTGCGATGATGCATTGAATTATAATGCACAGCCACATAATTATTATGGAAATAGCAATAATAAAATAAGTAATAATAACATTAATCATAATATTAACAATAGTAATAATAGTTCAAATAATAATGATAGTTGTTACAATATTCAGAATCTTTAATACTTTATAACATAAATAAAAGTTAATTAATAATTAATCAGTTTTTGTTATTTCATGCGAGAAGAGTACTGTTCCAACGCTCTTTTAGTAGAAAAACGGCGGTTTTTCGGTGCTTTTTTGGCGGTTTTTCATGCGAGAAGAGTACTGTTCTAACGATCTTTTAGTAGAAAAACGGCGGTTTTTCGGTGCTTTTTTGGCGGTTTACTGAAATGCGGTGCTATTTTAGTGCTATTTCGGCGCTATTTCGGAGGTTTAGTCCTGCAAACGGGCCTTTTTTCGTCGTTTTTTGGAACAATTTACGGTGCTAATTTGGCGGTATTTTAGTTGAGTGAAAAATTAATGAATTATTTTTACTCGGGGAATTGCCAAGAATGATATCATCATCATAAGGTCGTCAGTCCTAAGACTAGTTGGACACGCACCTCCACTCTTTCCTATCCTCAGCTAATCTTCGCATTTCCCTAAAACTAGAACAACCCACATCCTTAACTATTTGCGAACAGCAATATAATCTAGGTCTACCTCTACCCCTCCTAACACCCGTTTCTGCCTCTAATATGTCTCTGAACAGACCTTCATCCCTGAAAAGGTGTCCTACCAACCTATCTCACCTGTTTCTTATTGATTTCCACAGAATCCTTTGTTCTGCCGTTATTTCTAACCTTCTCTATCCACAGTATCCTCATCATTTGCCTGTAACAATTAACCGTTCGCAAGCATAGAAGTGACTTCTTTTTATTGCCTGCGATTCAATCCTGCGATAGTAAGGAAAGGGAGAGTCTTTCCTTACTTTTTCTTCCCTTGCATACCTGCTATTTTTGTTTTACTTTTATTTATTTTCATACAATAACACTTCCACTTCATTTAAAACTAACTCCAACTCCTTTTTGCTATATTCTAATACTGCTATATCATCTGCAAATCTAAGCATACTAATATTTTGCCTCTGTATATCTATCCCTACAGTTGTACAGTATTTAATGATGTTGGTCGCGTTGCAGTCCCAACTCTATAACTGCCTGTTGCTCTTTATACAAACTAAATATCCCTCTTTTATCTCTTTAACTCGTCCCTACATTTTTAACTATATTTAACATTTCGTCCCATTTAACATTGTCAAAAGATTTTTTTAAATCTACATGCATCTAAAGAATGGTATACAAGTTACAAATAATAGAGGCATGATTTAATATGCAGGTTTCTATAAAATGGTCAGCGTCCATGGTAATATCAAGAGAGCCAATAAGATGTAAACT